AAGCTCTTCGAATAAATTGTACGTATTGTTTCCTTTGCAGGCTCCCTGTTGAGCTCTTACGCAATGTGATGCAGAATGCTAGTCTCTGTTCCGTCAAACTTCTTGATTGTTTCTTTCGGTATTGTAGTAGCAGAAGAGGTGGGCATGGTGCTTCCCAGTCCATTATGGGGGTGGAAAATTGGGTAAGAACCAGACCAAAGTGAAAGAAAATTGAGGATAAGAATTGGATGAAAATTGCATTTGGTCTGATTCGGTTTGCTCGGTCTTTTCCTTTCTTTTTAAGAGAACCGAAGGCATCAGAAGTGAATCCAATTGCATTTGTTCTAGTCCGGCTCGATTCCTATGTTGATTTGATCAAATTAAATTCAATACGGTGTGTGCCAAACCGTTGCCCAACCCAATCAGTAGTACTCTAGTGCAAGAATCTCAATCCTTGTTCATTTCCTATAAATAATGGTTTTGTGCTCGACATGTTCCAATGCAGAGTATCAGTGGTGCAAAGAAAGCAAGAAGTGACTATCATTCGGAAGATGATGAGGATAGATATGGTTCTACATACAGCTGGCAAAGATGCCAAATTAAACGAGGAAGACGATATCGATGATTTAGGAACGATCGACGAAGAAGATGATGATAATAATAAGTGTTATGATGAATATGAGGATTATGATGGTTTCTAGTTAATTGGAGAACTGTACAGGTATTATCGTATTTTTCACTTTGCTGGAGCTGGAAGTTTGTAGCGAGTCATCTCGAAACTATAAAGAAGTTTGAACCTGAGAAAGCTGCAATTCTATTTACTTTTGCTGCAAAATTGGGCGTATTTTTTTAATGGAAGGTGTGTTAATAATCTACATTAAAAGATGGATGGTAGCTTAATACTAATAATTGATTCAGGTATATATAAAGGTGGGTTGAAGTTATGGCTTTGGGAACACTGCATACCCTCCACAACACGAAATTCCTTTCGGATGCTCTGGTTTTTGTTGTGTATTACTTTTTTTTTTGATAAGGGTGAAATAATATTAATAACAAAAGAAAAAGAGTTTGAAAACACAACCAGCAAACTACTCAGCACAAACTGCTGCACATAGCTACCCTCCAAGTGCACCAACAAAAGAAAATGCACCAACAAAAAGCAAATGAAAAAAGAAAGAGCTCTCAAACTCCTGAACCTTGAAACTCCCAAAGTCCTTTCAGCGACCAACCTCACCACAAAGCCCAGTCACAGACAGAAGTCGACACAAACACAGGAGCAGAAGCTTAGCAAGGCACATCGGCGTCCTCACGGTCTCCAAACTCAGCTCCAACCGGAGGCAAAGCGGGAGGTTCAACATTCCTGGGAAACAGGCGAAACTTGATATTTTGCAACCAGCAGCTCGCTTCCTCCCTACCAACCTTCTGCGCAGCACCCAACCATTCGGCAATACTGTAAGCAATCCGGAAAACAACCACTTGACCTAGGACGAACTCTTCCTTGAAAATTCTGGAATTTCTCTATAACCAGATACGCCAACAAAAAGCATGAAGAGAAACCATCGTGCACCACTCCTTTGAATTGGATGGCTGTCGGCTATGCCACCTTCTTATCATCTCCGTGATGTCAGTACTAGTAGTCTTGAGCTCGACGAAGGCTGACAGAATCCGCCAAACCTCCTTGGAGAACCTGCAAAGAAGGAATAGATGATCGATTGTTTCCTCCTGATCACCACACAACACGCATCGACTTGGGAGAGCCCAACCCCTCCGCTTGAGGGCATCCTGAGTAAGGATCTTCTTTTGGAACACTATCCACAAAAACACACAAACTTTCGGAGGAACTGCAGGCTGCCACACGACTCTGTAGGGAAAAGAGGATGAGCTAGGAAACTTCTCCTTGATGTACTCGCCATAGAATGAGCGAGCGGTGAATCCTGTGATTGGAGAAGGACTCCAAACAAGTCTAGAAGGGCCTGCACAGAAATTGTCAGTTGATAATCCATTAAGCATATTCAAAAGTGAAACTCTCTCTCTCTCTGCTCCTCCCCTCAAGGTAAATCGAAGAGGAATATCCCAAGAAACTCTCCCCTCTGAAAAGTTAATAGCATCAGAAACCCGGCAGTTAGGCAACTCAACCGCAGCCGCGACCCTCGGAAAATCATCAACAAGCAGTCTTCCCTTAATCCACACATCATGCCAGAGAGATACACTAGATCCAACACCTGCTTCAACATACGCAAATCTCCAAAACATATTCTTAGTCTTAATAATTTGTGCCCACAGGCTAGTGCCAATAGGACCCATTCTCTTCCCCCACATCCATTCTGAAGAATCATTGGGAAACTTGATCGAGATAAGATCCCTCCACCAAGCATCCCGCTCAAGAGCGAAACGCCACCACCATTACTCAAAAGGGACTGATTACGAAGTCTCAAATCTGAATCCCCAAACCCCCATATCTCTTTGGTGCTTTACACGAATCCCAGGAGACAAGGTGAAACTTCTTCTCTCCCTGCCGACCAGACCAGATAAAATCCCTTTGCAGTTTCTCCAAAGTGTCAATAACAGAACATGGGGCGCTGAAGAGGCTGAACATATAAGTAGGTTGGCTAGCCAACACCGCATTACACAAAGTAATGCGCCCAGCCAACGAGAGATACTTCCCCAACCAAACCTCCAATCGCCGACACGCTTTATCAAGAACATTACTCCAGATTGTCGGAGAAGTCGGAGCCGCTCCAAGTGGAAGTCCTAGATAATTAGTGGGAAGGAACTTCCATTCGCACCCAATTATCTCGGCGAACCTGTCAAGATTATCAACCTCGCCTACTGGAAAGAGTTTGCTCTTATTGAAATTCACTTTAAGCTCGGTGATGGTTTGAAACCACAATAAAGCCGCAGTCAAGTGAAAAACCTCTTCTTCCGAAGCATCACAGAAAATAATAGCATCATCTGCATAAAGTAAGTGGCTCACTTCCCCCAATCTTCCCGGATCGTCCATACAAAAACCAGAGATAAGTCGAGCCTCGCGGGGCTCATCCAAGATGAAAGACAAAACGTCCATAACTAGGCAGAAAAGATATGGAGATAGAGAATCACCTTGCTTCAAACCCCTCTGCATCCCAAAGAACCCCCCGGCTTCACCATTAACCAACACCGATAACTTAGCGGAAGTCACAATACCTTTGATCCACTTTCGAAACCGAGGATGAAGACCCATATTCTCAAGGATCTTGAATAAACAGCACCAACTAACTGAGTCGAAAGCTTTCTCGATATCGAGTTTTAAAATCAGCCCTGGTCTACCACCTCTCTTCCTACTATCAACAAGTTCATTAGCCAACAAACAAGTTTCATGAATTTGTCGTCACCTTATCCCAGCGAACTGCTGCGTAGAAACAGTCTTTCTCATGAAAGGTTGTAGCCTTCTAAAGAGGAGTTTTGAAAAAATCTTGTTCATGCTACCCACAAGGCTTATTGGTCGAAAATCATTCAGCCCTTCTGCAGTCTCTTTCTTGGGAATAAGACACAAGAAAGAGTGCCCAATAGAATCAGGAATGAAACCTGTAATGTAGAACTCATCAATCGCCTTCATAACATCCGCTTTGACAATGTTCCAAGCTTTCTTAAAGAAATCGATGGTAAAGCCATCGGGGCCCGGGGCCTTATTGCCACCACACGAACTCACACCCTCCCAAACTTCCATCTCCGAAAAAGGGAGGGTAAGCTGATAGTTCTCCTCCATACTGAAAAGATCTCTCTTGTATTCCGCAGGAAATGGTCTACTAAGATTCTCTTCAATGTACCTCCCCTGAAAGTGAGAAATGAAAGCTCTCTTGATGTCCATTTTATCAACCAGTACCTGACCTTCAACCTTAAGCACCTGGATCTTATTCCTCCTCTGGTTATTATTAGCTACCCGGTGAAAATATGCTGAATTTTTATCCCCGACCTTGAGCCAACAATCCCTAGACTTTTGATGCCATGATATTTCTTCCATCAACAGAATCCTATCCAATTCACATCTCAGGAGACTCCTATCATTCTTCAAAGTATCAGAGATCGGACCCCTCTCCTCAACATCATCAATGTCTCTAATCTGCTTGAGAATACGTTCAATCCGATGCTGAATTCTACCAAAAACCTCCACATTCCAAGTCTTAATAAGCTGCTTAGTCTGTCTGAGCCTTTGTCCAATGCGAAAAATCAGCCCCAAACCCGTAACAGGAACGTTCCACCAACCGACAAGGGACTGTAAAAAAGAGCTTTCCAGTAACCACATATTCTCAAATCTCCACAGTCGATGAACAAAGTCAGCGTCCCCCCATCGGAAACAAATCGGGTTATGATCAGAATCCACTCTTTCAAAAGCAAGCAAAGGCCCCGGCGCAAAAGCTTCTTCAAAGAGGTTCACAAAAGCCCTATCAATGCGCGAAAGGGAAACACTAGAACCGTCTCCACACCGAGTGAAAAGAGCACCCCTTAGAGGAAGGTCGATCAGCTGATTAGAATTAATGAAAGCATTAAACCTTTCCATCATCTCCCTACACCTAGGCCCACCAATGTAATCTTCATCCGATCGAACAAGGTTGAAGTCCCCCAATATACACATAGGAGCACTAAATCTATGACAAATCAAGTCCAGTTCTTCAATAAACTCCACTTTTCCTTCCCTTTCTTGCGGCCCATAAACAACCACAACTGCCAATATTTCCATGCTACAACTATTCTGAATTCTAACAGCAAGCGAAAATTTCCCTTCCCAAGAATTGAGCAGCTTGAACTCAGCTCTTTCCCAATAGATCACAATACCCCCCCACAACTACCGATGGCATCCTTGGCAACCCACTCTGAATTGCTATTACCACTAACTGAAGAAATCAGGAACTGAGAACATTTACTCCATTTAGTCTCCACCAGTCCAACAATTGAAGCACGACACCTTTTGATAATGGCTTTAATACGCGCCCTTTTGTCCGGCGCGCACAGCCCACGAACATTCCATGACAAGATAGAAGTAATCATGATGATGTTACAGACGCAAACCTGTTCCGGGTTTTAGTACTAATGTTCCCGGTCAAGCTCTCAGTACTTCCTTCATTCACACGTCGAGTCTTTCGCCTCACCCGAGGGGACAAGGGGAGGGTCTGAAGCGAGCCGAGGCGATGTTGTTCCATTTCCAGCCTTGTCCTTGGAGACTTTTTCTTCTTTTTCTTTACCTCAGCAGCTAGCTCTTCGAATTGAACTTCCGCATCCAAACCCGGGTCTTCAGATAGAAGCTTCAAGATTTGAGAAAACGATCGACCCGCTTCGATCAACCTCTTGAAGTCCTGCTCATCCTGCCATTCCTTAAGGTAATCAACATTAATAGAGCGAAACTCCACTATCGCTAAAGGATTATCGTCCTGGTTGAGCGATGGACTTAATTCAGAAAGTTCCACCGAATCCGAATTTGTAAAAGAAAACTCTGGCTCAGTACAGTCGAAATAGGGAAGGCATGACAGTGAGGGTAAGGATGAATGAGGGAGGGATTTAGGCATTATTTGATGAGAATTAAACTGGGGAGGAGGAAATAGTACGGAGAGGAGGTCAATTGGATTATGAATTGGTGGAGGGATGGGGTTAAGGTTAACAGTGAGGCGAAAAGAAGGTTCAGGGGAAATGAAAAGGGAGAAGAAAGTCGAATGAAAAGAGAAAGTCGGGGAGGAGGAGGTACTCATAGAGGTTTCAGACTACGAATCGATAACAATGAATTATCAGTAAATCTGATCAAGCATTTTGTGTACGAATGTATGTTTGCAAATATGCTTGTTGCTACGTACGATCTACAAACTCATTGTTAATGATTCGCTAATGAGTAATGTAGATTCTCGTCTAATGGAGTGCCGAGGAAGTTGACAATGAATATCATTGAGTGGCTTCTTGCTCACGGGAAGATTGAGAGAAGCACAGGGATTGAGTGGTTGAACAACCGTTGCTTCAACTTCTGATTTTTGCGCAGTGTTTGGTCTTGAGCTTGTTCCCGTTCGCTGTTGCTAGTGACTCTGTTGTTTGCTTCGGTTTTCGTTGTTTTGGGTTTCTTGTGCTGGCTGTTCCCCTGGCCTTTCTGATGGTTAGTCTGGTCGTGGTTCCCTGGTTGTTGCGTGCAGGGGAGGTCTGGTCCTCATAGCACTTGCGATGCCTTTTCTCCTCTTGTTTTTTTTCCTTTTCTTTTGTTCTGACTTGGATTGTTTTATACCTTGTTGGATTCTTTTTTTATTTCGGTAATATATCATCATCATTATTAAAAACAAAAAATGATTGACGTTAAGTAACAATGGAGAAAAGAAACTGTTACTGACTTCTGCAGTTGGATATTTTAATCACGTTCATATTTCAACAGTGAACTTCAGTTGTAATGAATAACAATGACGGCCTAGCTCCCCACTCTGTTATTGCACGTCGATTGGCCACCACATAAGTAGTGAGTGGAAACACTTGGAATTTCAACCATGGGTTGATTAATTTATGCCGCAGAATGCAGTGGCGTAGCCAGGATTTCGTATAAGGTGGGTCCACCTAAAAAAATAAATTTGATAAAATAGTTTTTTAATATAATCTTACGTTGAAAACTTTTGATAAATTAAAATTCATTAGCAGTCGAAGATATCAAGAATATCACTTTGCATATATATCAAACAATCATTGATTTAGTTAGTCGTAGTGTTTCAAATGGTGTTCTTTGTTAAGAACCGTTAGTATCAATACCTCGAGTTGTTGATAGAGGTTTAAAAATAAATCTTATACTAATTCGCTCCTACTGTCACTTTAGAAATTGGCCAAGTGTAACCACTTCCTAAAGTGTAGCATAGCGGGTTTGGGTTTTAATGTCAACCCGGGTTCTAGATTTGATGACTACTCGGTGAATTCTTGTTATCTAGCAGTAAAACTTAAGTGCAGGTTCCAACAAACAAAAACACAAAGCAAGTTAAACGGTTGTATTCAAGTCAAGAGAGCTCACCCGGATATGGTTCCCCCTAGACTGCAGTTAAGCCGGATTGCAATTACCAAGTTCAGTTTCTATGAAAGTTATACTGCGGAAGGTTCTTAAACAGTCTGAAGTCTCGACTAAAGGTCTCCAGACCCTCTCAATCTGAGTCCCCAGCAGGCGACTAACCTCCACCGAAGTAAACAGATTGAGGCCCTAACGAACAAAACATCCACTACCGAAGCAACTTCGGTACAGATTGAGGCCCTAACGGCCGTGTGAGATTTATTCATGCCCGTGTGAAGACTCGCACAATCCCACACGGCCACATTGATTACTTGCACGGCCGTGTGAGTTTTGTGTGTGCCCGTGTGACTTCCTCAGCGACTCGCCACGAGTCCGATTTTCGTCCAATCGACCCCGAACTCGCTCCCAAACCTTCATTCACGTACTAGGTCCTGAAATATCACAAACAAGCACAACCTAGCGTGAAATCGGCCTAAAACACGAGAATCAACACCTCAAACGGCTCCGGAATAGGGGTAAAAACATGTGGAATTAACAGTTTATCAAACTCTCAAACTCCCCCACACTTAACCGTTTGCTTGTCCCCAAGCAAACCAAGTCAGACACAAGGTAAGCTTACATATTTCAACCATACCAACATTGGGGACAAATCATATAGGCACAGAAACACGTGAATCATACTGGCTTTCAAACATCAACACATGAACAACCTCAATAGCAACCTGGACAACCACAACAGAAGACATTCGAGCGCAGCAAAATCGACTAAAGGAGGAGTCTCCCTTCTGTTCATCAACCAACCTAGACTTGACTCAACCACTCACTCAAGACAGTAAACTCATGCACAAAACTCAAGACATTAGAATCAAGACCGCGCCATCTAGGTCCTCACCGAGTAAAGAGTGTAAAGAACAAGGAAATGAATCGATCACTCTCGACCAGTGGGGTCAGGACAATTTGATGCGAAAAATGCGCATACCTGTTCTCTCAATTCCTAACATCTCTTCACCATGACGGCAGCCTCTAAATGTTAGAGTTCACATAAATGGTTGTCATCACTAACTAATCCGGAGGTCTTAGACACTGGTTCAAGTGACTGGCTAGGGTATTGGACATGGGGAAAAGGCCTTTTAGGTGGTGGAAGTATTCATAGCATAAGGTTCCACATTTCCAAACCCAACAAACTCACAGTCAATCAAACCAGTACTTTCTTTCTGCTATTCTGCATTACTCAAATTCTTCAGAGCACAAGAGCGAAGGAGGTCACATAAATGCTAGTATTTCCAGGCCAGACTGCTAAGAAACACTACTTAATGGGCACTATTCAGACTTTTTGGTGGTGGCTCTCTTTTGCTTTCATTTTTTCTTTGTTTTTATTTCATTTTTTTTTTCATTTCTTAAGAGAACCACCACCTCTGCACATTTTCAAACACCTGCCCAATTTTTAAGAACTACCTCCAACTCTCACATTACATTTAGGAGAAACAGCAGAGAACATGTAAAAATCACTCTGTGGAACCTTCTAAAAGATGCAAAAGGGTGACTTTTCATTGAAGACCGAAAGAAAGGAAAACACACGGCTCAAAGGGGCTGACTAGGGGGTATGACACACCAGGACAGTCAATTTGGTCGTGGGCTAATCTTATGCCTCCATCATCTTAGCTAATGACAACGTGAATGCTACCCATCATGGAAGAGGGATCTATCGCACAAGAAAGAAACGAGCAGGCTCAAATCTCACCTGGCTACCTATATGCTCTATCTCTCATTCTGATCCCTGAATTAGATGCATAAGAGACTGTCAAAAACAAGTAATCAATCCAAGTCACAGTTGGTAAGCAAACAGTTGAAAAACTGAACCCCTACACAACTCTACTGCACGTCTCAATCATCATAATAGGTTGTCCTAGTCACCATCCAGTTGTCATGCATCAATCCGAAAACCATTAAATTCACCAATCAAAACACAGTGCCAATATGATCAAACAGCCGTACTTGGAGCCCTCAAATCTCGAGATTTGGATAGTGGACTAGGCTCCAAGCACACAAACAGATCTAATGCAGTCAAAAGATAAACATCCCCCCCCCCCCACACTTAAGATCGACATTGCCCTCAATGGAGAGGAGGGAAGGATAAGGGGAACGATGTTACCGGTGTTCACGGACTGCATGAGATTGGAAGCGGACCCGTCGAGTGAAGCAGACTGGAGAGGAACCAAACTGGAACAAAGCACCGCTGAAGGGGGACAAAAGTGCTAAAACACCACATGTTAGGTCCAATGGTCATCCCAACAATACATCATCCAAAATAAAAGAAAACAAACCAAACCGGTTTACAATCCGACTCAAAACAAAAGAGATTAAAACCGTGGTGGGGTTGCCTCCCCACAAGCGCTTCTTTAGCGTCTTTTAGCTGGACGCCCATGGCGGAACTAAGGGTCCGCGAGTTCCACTGCCAACTCCGCATGTTCGACCTCGCCTCCCAATTAGAGCTTGAGACGATTGCCATTCACTTTAAATGGTTCAGTCTGCGGGTTGGCAATCTCAATCGTGCCATAAGGGAACACCTGTGTGACCGTGTACGGCCAAGACCACCGGGAATGGAGTTTTCCGGGAAAGAGCTGTAGGCGAGAGTTATAAAGGAGAACTCGATCACCAACCTGGAACTCTTTCGGACCCCGCAACCGTGCATCGTGCAGGCGCTTAGTGCGCTCCTTGTACAGCTTGGTGTTCTCGTAGGCATGATAACACCACTCCTCCAGCTCCAGCATCTGCATTTTGCGCTCAACACCTGCAACACTAACATCCAAGTTTAGCAGCCTAAGTGCCCAGAAGGCCTTGTGCTCTAGCTCCACGGGCAAATGACATGCCTTTCCATAGACAAGCCGGTACGGTGAAGTACCAATGGGCGTCTTGTAGGCAGTGCGGTATGCCCATAGAGCATCATCGAGCTTGGTGGACCAATCCTTGCGGGATAGATTCACCGTCTTCTCCAGGATACGCTTGAGCTCCCGGTTCGTCAGCTCGGCCTGACCACTTGTTTGAGGGTGGTAGGCCACGAACACCTTATGATTTACACCATAGCGAAACAGCAACTTATCGAACTGGCCCTGAAAATGGGTGCCTCGATCGCTTATGATGGCTCTAGGTGTCCCGAACCGGGAGTATAGCTGCTTCAGAAAACCACAAACACGTCTAGCATCATTAGTGGGCAAAGCTTGCGCCTCAGCCCACCGAGAGACGTAGTCAACAGCAACAAGGATATAGGTATTACCAAAAGATGGAGGGAAGGGGCCCATGAAGTCGATACCCCAGACATAAAAAATCTCACAAGTTATAAACACATTATGGGCATCTCATCACGGGCAGAGATGTTACCTGACCTCTGGCATTGGTCGCACCTGCGTGCGAAGGTGTCTGCATCCTTGAAGAGCGTGGGCCAGTAGAAGCCCGACTGTAGCACCTTCCTCGCTGTGCGGTTTCCTCCGTGGTGACCGCTAGTAGGCCCTTCATGACAGTGAGATAGAATGCCCTCCATCTCACTCT